TCAGCTCAAGGTGAGTGCTCTACCATTTGAGCCACAGCGCCACTTCCGGTTTTCTAGTGGTTTATTGGAGATAAGAGTCTCACAGACTTTCCTGCCCGGGCTGACTTTGAACAGAGATCCTCAGATCTCAGCCTCCTGAGTAGCTAAGATTACAGGCGTGAACCACTGGTGCCCTGCCATGACTGATTTTTTTTTTTTTTGTCAGTCATGGGGCTTGAACTCTGGATTTGGGCACTGTCTCTGTGCTCTTCAAGGCGAGCGCTTTACCGCTTGAGCCACAGAGTCACAGAGCTACTTCCGGTTTTCTAGTGGTTTATTGGAGATAAAGAGTCTCATAGACTTTCGTGCCTGGGCTGGCTTTGAACCATGATCCTCAGATCTCAGCCTCCTGAGTAGCTAGGATTACAAGTATGAGCCACCGTGCCCAGCTGACTGATGCTTTTAATTAATTAATTCTAGTGTTTGCTGTACTTTTACAATATATAATGTATTAGTTTGAGGGTTGTAGGGTTTTTTTTTTTCAGTGCTATGTTTGAATCCAGGACCTCACATGTACTATGAAAGTACTTTATCCCTGAACTACATCTCAAATCTTGATAAATATTTGAGTCTTGATTTCTTTTCCTGGACTGGGGATGTAGCTGAGTGAGAAGCATTTGCCTAGCATGTATGAATACCACCAAGGAACCAAAAGGGAAGTAAAAAAGACTAGGGGCTGGGAAGGTGGCTTAGTGATAGAGTGCTTGCCTTGCATGCATGATCCCCTGGGTTCAGTTCCTCAGTACCACATAAGCAGAAAAAGCCAGAAGTGGCGCTGTGGTTCAAGTGGTAGAGCACTTGCCTTGAGCTGAAGAGCTGAGCAACAGTAACCAGGCCCAGAGTTCAGGCCCCACGACCTACCAAAAAACAACAACAACAAAACAAAAAAAGAGGATATGACTTGGTGATGGATTTTATTAGATACCTTCTTCTCCAGGTACTAAAAATGATCATTCATATAGTATTCTCCACATTGACAGATATTCTAATATTAAATGACTTTCGAATCAACCCAAACTGAGTGTGATAGAATATTTTTAGAGTTTTAGAAAACTTACTCCCTTATTTTACAGCCTGTGTGGTAATAACCTCTTCAGTGAACTGACATGGAACCACAGTCTTCCACTTAGTCTCCAAGTAACTAGGATTACAAGTACTTGGCCCTCTGGACAAATCTCTATAAAATGATCTGTTATTTGTTTCTTGGGGCTGGGAGTGTAGCTCTTTGGTTAAGCCTGTGCTTATGGGACACTTTTTAATCTCCAGAACCAATGAAAAACAACAACTAAAAGCCCCTTCCTGTTTTTTGTTTTTGTTTTTTTTTGGGTCTGCTCATAGGGCCTGAACTCTGGGCCTGGGCGCTGTCCCTCAGCTCTTCAGCTCAAGGCTAGCGCTCTACCACTTGAGCCACAGCACCACTTCCGGCTTTTTTCTTTTTGTTTATGCGGTGCTGAGGAATCGAACCCAGGGCCTCATGCATGCAAGGCAAACACTCTATCACTGAGCCACCTTCCCAGCCCCCCTTTCCTGTTTTTTAAAATAGTTTTCATTGTGGGAGAATTTTTTTTTTTTTTTTGCTAGTCTTGGGGCTTGAACTCAGGGCCTGGACACTATCCCTGAGCTTCTTTTGCTCAAGTCTAGCATTCTACCACTTGAGCCACAGCACCATTTCTGGTTTTCTAGTGGTTTATTGGAGATAATAAGAGTTTCACAGCTTTTCTTGCCCAGACTAGCTTTGAACCATGATCCTCAGGTCTCAGCCTCCTGAGTAGCTAGGATTATAGGCATGAGCACTGATGCCCTGCTTCTTTTATAATTTTAAAATTGACCTTTTTTGTGTTAGTTAAAATTTTTTTTTTTTTGGTGCTAGTACTGGGGTTCGAAGTCATCACTTTGACATGTCCCTTAGCTTTTTCACTCAGTGCTGGTGTAGTATTATCTGAGCCACACCTCTACTTTTCACTTTTTGGTGGTTAGCTGGTTATAAAAGTCACATGGATTTTCCTGCCAACGGGTAGTTTTCAGTCTAGATCTTCAGATCCCTTCAGATTTGAGCTCTTCAGGATTACAGGCATGAGGCCCTACTGGTACTCAGAGAGTTTTATTTATTTATTTTTTTGACAAAAGTTTTTCCTTAATTTCACATTTTTTCGTTCTTTCTGTAGTTATTCCCCTTTTTTCTTTATCTTTCTCTGTTTTAGCTATGTTTTTTTTTCAAGGTTTTTTCCCCCCTCCCTGAGTGTTTTATTAGTTAGAAGTCTCATTGCTTCACACAGAGAATGTCATGTGATTCTCTCTTTTTTTTTTTTTTTGGGTCCCGTCGTGGGGCCTGAACTCTAGGCCTGGGCGCTGTCCCTCAGCTCTTCACCTCAATGTTAGCACTCTCCCACTTGAGCCACAGCGCCACTTCCGGCTTTTTTCTTTTTGCTTATGTGGTGCTGAGGAATGGAACCCAGGGCCTTATGCATGCAAGGCAAGCGCTCTACCACTGAGCCACCTTCCCAGCCCCATGTTTTTTTTTTGAAACAGGGTATTTTTAGGTTGCCTAGGCTGGCCTTGAACTTGTAGTCCAGGCTGGCTTCAAACTTGGAGTCCTCCTACCTCTGTCTGCTGAGTCCTGGAATTACAGGTATATACAACTATACCCGGCTTTCAGGCTTTTTTTATTTATTTATTTTCAATTTAGTAAATATCAAGATTGGCTGAATAATGCTTAGAATATTTTAATTCAGTTCTTGTGTGTGTATATGTGCCAGTTCTGGGACTTGAACTCAGGGCCTCACTCTCTCATTCTGCCTTTTCCTTCATGGTTGGCGCTCCATCAATTGAGCCATACCTCTAGTTCTGTTTTTTTGTTTTTTTTTTTCTGGTTAATTGGAAGTCAGGGTCTCTCAGATTTTCTGCCTGGGCTTGGCTTTGAATCTCAATCCTCAGATCTCAGTTTCTTGAGTAGCTAGGATAATAAACATGAGCCACTGGTGCCCAGCTTTACATTCAATTTTTTATTTTTTATCAATTTATGACTTACTAGAAAGTTATATAAATGTTTTGTAAGCATTAACTTCATTCTGTGTTTTTAGATTCTCTGAGTTTTGTGAGCCAATATAAACATTTCTGTCATGTTCTAATTCTTTGGAGACAAATATTTATACTACACTGAGTTAAAACAGAAATGCAGGTCTGGGAATGAGGCTGAGTGGAAGTATGCTTGTCTAACATGTGTGAGGCCCTGCGTTAGATCCTTAGCACTGCAAAAATAGAAAAATAAGAACAAAATAATGCTGCCTTGTCACTAATGATTTTTTTTGCTTGTCTTAAAAATTTCATCGTCATTGTTATTATAAATGTTACTATATTTACTTGTAATTATTAATCACAAATTTAACTTTTACTCATGAAACCTTGAAAACCTTTCAATTCTAGTCAAATGTAATGTGGCATTATGTTCACTAATGTGCACAATATATTAGTGTGTGAAAACCATTGCTATTGTTTTTATAGGTGGCGATTTCTTTGACTTTAAGCACTTATAAACATTCATTAAATCTGTGTTTGTGTGTTTGGTTGAGCCAAACATCAGAAGTTAGGAAATGCATTGTTATTTCCTGGAGTTACTTGGTTATTATGTAGAAAGCTGCCTTTTCACAGCTCATGTTTTGTTAAGCATCATGGCGAATTTATATTTTGTTTTTCAGGTGTTTCATTTTTTACTTTTGGTACCCTAAAGAGTGTTGGGCTTTCCCATGCTCCTACCCTTCTTGGCAAACCTTCTTCAGACAATCCTAATGTCTTAGTTTTGAAAACTCACATAAACTTACTTTGTGGTGGTGTTGCTGGAGCAATAGCACAGACAATATCGTAAGTTTCCTCATCAATCTTAATTCAATCAAATTAGTTTCCCCGGGGCTGGGGGCAATGGTAGAGTGCTTGCCCAGCAAGGGGGAGGCTCTAGATTCATAAAATTATGGGTATACATTCTACAGTTTTAGCATTGGTTCATCATTTTATTTCTACCAGATTAATAAAAAACAGAACCCCTTGTACATATGAGTATTCGTTTTTATAAATATTAGGACTTTTTCCATATTTACCTTCACATGAGCATATTATGGATACTTACATGTCAAGCTTATCATACTGTTACATGTCCAGTTACATTAACTTTCATGTCAAGTTGATCTACCCCAATTCCTATAGATTCATTTAAAAGAGAGAAGAATCGCTTAATGTAATTTTCCTCCAATTTTTTCTTATGAAGTTGCCTATGGGAAGTGTCAGAAGTTAGAGCTGTTTATTGAGTGTATATATGCGTATCAGGAGATGCAACTTGTCTAGCATTAAAGTTTCAGAGGCCTACCTTATGCCAGGCAGTATATGAGGCATTGTAAAGTCACCGAAGGACACAGTTGCTGCCTCAATAAGCCTTATGTTTTTATTAAGACTGCAGCCATACCGTCTAACTGAGGCTGAGTAAGTAGCATATAGTGGAAATATTGATAAAGGTATTATTGTGTTAAAATACCAAAAGAGCTTGAGTAGAATCAAATAAAAAGAAGTCACAGTCCTAAAAGACAAGAACTTTTGGGAAACAGGAATAAGGAAAGCTGGATTGAGAAGGAATATCCTGAACAGCACAAAGATACAAGGAAGTAATAGTATCACAAAGACTGAAAAAAAAAGTGAATAAAAGAATATCCAATGGAAAAAGAAGAGATAAGTAAGGAAGCAAAGGTATGGTGTTTATTTTTGCTTGGCTGGGAAACTTATTTACAGAGACATGATCATCCCAGTTTTCTGATTCTCTGCTTGGATTATTGCTTCTTTTCTTCCACTAACTCCCTACTTAGATCCTGAAAATCCTTAACCTGCATTTTCTCCTTCTTCTTTCCTTAAACTGTGTTTTACCATACATAGACTTATAAATGTCATAGCTCCCTTCTCAGTTCTTTCCATTTTTCATTTGTTTTACTTCCTTGGCTCTTAAAACCCTTCCCTTCCCTTTCTAGGTATTTTAATGATTTCTGTCTTCCTCTAACTACCTCTGCTTATCTGTGTGGATTAAAAAAAAACCTCTTTTATGTAGTTTTATGTAGGCCTCAAACCTGATCTTCCTGCCCTAACTTCTTGAGTGCTACGATGAAAGATGTGTACCACCTTGCTCAGCTTCTGTGTGTGTGTGTGTGTGTGTGTAGGTGTGTGTGTGTGTGTACTGATATAGGGATTGAATTCAAGGCCTTGCACTCTTGTTTGCCTCTCTTGCTCTCAACTGGTACTCTACCACTTGAGCCACACCTCTAGTGAAACATTTGGTAGTTAGTTAGACATAGCCTTGCAGACTTTTTTGTACCAGGATGACTTAAAACATTGATATTGAGATCTCAGACTTCTGATCCTTTTTTGTTGTTTTGTACTGGAGTTTGAACTCAGGCCCTTTGCTTTCTAGGCATGTGCTACATCCCTTGAGTCAGGCCTCCAGCCCTTGTGTGAATTTTTTTTGTCGGTGTTGGGCTTAAACTCTGGACCTGGGTTCCTGAGCTCTTCAGCTCAGGGTGAACACTCTACCACTTGAGCCACAGCACCACTTTTGGTTTTCTGGTGGTTAATTGGAGAGTTGAGTCCCACGGACTTTCCTGCCTGCTCTGGCTTTGAACCATGATCCTCAGATCTTAAGTAGCCCGTAAGTAGCTAGGATTACAAGTATGAGCCACCAGCACCCAGCCCTGTGTGAATTTTCAAAGGCCACTTTGTCCTGTTGACATAAATATCTTATTTCCATGACTTCACTGATTACCTCAGTGCAAATAGCTAGTTCTATTTACCCCTATTTTTTTTTATGTTTCTACTTAGTCTTTTGCCATTGTTTCAAATTTATAATTCAAACCTTGCCTTCTTGGGGATGAAAGTATAGCTCAATGGCAGAGTGCTTGTCCAGCATGCACAAGGCCTGAGTTCCCAGCAATGCAGTATGAAACAAAAATCCAAACCAAATGTTCTTATTTTCATCTTTATAAAAACCTTTAGCTTTTCTAGTTATTGATAACTATTAATCTAGTAGTCCTGATGATTTGAAGTAATTTGTCACATTGTATGTATCTATAAACAGTTACCAGATCTTGTGACTTTGGGAGTGGGGTGCAGTATTAGAGTTTGAACTCAGAGCCTTGTGCTATCAGCAAGTTTTCTAACAATTGAGCTACTCCACTAAGTCTTGTCACTTTACTTCAGGACACTGTACAAACTGCTGTTCCTTTCCCACTGTTATTTCCCCATTTCTGGTTTTTGTCATCTTGCTTTCTCATGTTTTTTCTTTTCTAGTAATCAATTTCTTCCACCTACATACAGTTTGATGTGTGTGTGTGTGTGACAGTATGAGGGCTTGAACTTATTTTTCATTCAAGGCTAGCTCTCAACCATTTGAGCTACACCTCCACTTCCAGCTTTTTCGTTGGTTAACTGGAGATAAAAGTCTTACAGTTTAGTCTGCTTGCGGGGGTTTGAACTACACTCTTCAGATTTCAGACTCCTGAGTAGCTAGAATTATATGAGCTAATCAGTGCTTGGCTCCTACCTACATCTTTTATAAATAGCAACTCAATCCCTCACTTGATGTTTTTCTTTCCCATTAAGAAACTATTCCTGGGGATGCAGTTGAAATACTTGGGAGCTTCAATGAGTTGTAGCTTATCTCCTCCATTGTTTAGTCAATATATATTTATATAATATCACTATATAAAGGATTTCATCATATATCAATTGTGTGTATATTGTATATATCTTTAAAGCAGATTACTTTTTCATTCAGGCATTGCAATAATTTTTCTCTGCCCTTGAAATATAATAACTGTATCATTAATTCTGGCCCCTATGGAAGTTTTGCATTGATTTGGTGTATTGGAGGGGACTTGTTGAAAATTCCTAAGGTAGTAGTTCTCAACTGAGAATGAAGTTGACTATAGTGGACATATATTAATTCCAGAGGCAATTCTGGTTGTTAAAACTGGGGGGAATGCTACTGGTATCTAGTGTTCAGAGGCCAAGGATGGAGTAAACATCCTGCTGTACACAGGACAGAATGAGCCAAAATGTCAGAAGTGCCAAAAGTGGATAAACCAAAACCGTATTTAAAGTTACAGCAATGGAAAGCAACCAGTTTGTTTCTTCAGGAAGTGCCATAATTTGGAGTTGAGAAATCAGTAGAACTTGATATTGTAGTGAAGAATCCTGTAGAGGACTCTAATAAAATTGATTTCTTCATATCTGTACAAGAAAATAGGAATACATTATTTCCTAGTATAGATGGGGCTTTCCATTCAATTGTTGTTGGATAGAAAATGAAAAATTATTTTAGTTTTCAAGCCTGTTTTCTTCTTTTAGCTACCCATTTGATGTAACTCGTCGGCGAATGCAACTAGGAGCTGTTCTTCCAGAATTTGAAAAGTGCCTGTAAGTTCTCCAAATATCATCATTCATTTTCTTTAGGAAATGTGATGTTTAAAGCTAGCAGAAAGAAGGAACTCAGGTCTCACCAATAGTCTGTACCTTCCATTAAAAAATAACAGCAACAATAGCAACATTTTACACTGAGGAAACTTTATGAGGTCTCACTCAGGCCCTAATCTCTTACTGAAATTTTTTGAATAGATCTGCTTGGTTTTTTTTTTTTTTTTTTTTGGGTCCAGGTCATGGGGCCTGAACTCTGGGCGTGGGCGCTGTCCCTCAGCTCTTCAGCTCAAGGCTAGCGCTACCACTTGAGCCACAGCGCCACTTCTGGCTTTTTTCTTTTTGCTTATGTGGTGTTGAGGAATCGAACCCAGGGCCTCATGCATGCAAGGCAAGCGCTCTACCACTGAGCCATCTTCCCAGCCCCTAGAATAGATCTGTTAAATAGAAATTAAACTACATGTTTAATTTAAATTTTCTGGTAGCCTTTTTTTTTCTTTTCTTTTAAATGTCAGTCTTAGGGCTTGAACGCAGGGCCTCGCCCTTTCCCGAGCTTCTTTGTTCAGAGCTAGTGCTGTACCACTTGGCTTTATTTATTTATTTATTTATTTATTTTTAGTGGCTAATTGGAGATGAGTCTCATATATTTTCCTGCAGAGCTGGCTTTGAACTGTGACCATCAGATCTCAGCCTTCTACATAGTTAGGATTACAGGTGTGAAAGCATTAATAAGACAGAAGTAGTTCTGGGTGCTGGTGGCTCACACCTGTAATTCTAGATACTTAGTAGGCTGAGATCTGAGGATCCTGATGAAGCCAGCCTAAACAAATTAATTGGAGAAATTCCTATCTCCAATTAACCATAAAAAAGCTGGAACTAGTGCTGGGAATGTGGCTTAGTTGTAGAGTGCTTGCCTACCATGCATGAAGCCCTCAGTACCCTCGATTCCTCAGTACCACATAAACAAAATGTAGGAAGTGGTGCTGTGGCTCAAGTGGTAGAGTGCTAGCCTTGAGCAAAAGAAGCTCAGGGACAGTGCTCAGGCCCTGAGTTCAAGCCTCAGGACTCGCAAAAAAAAAAAAAAAAGCTGGAAGTAGGTGTGGCTCAGATGGTAGAGCTACCAGGCTTCAGCAAAAAGCCAAGCTAGAGATGAGGCCCTGTGTTCAAGCTCTTACTCCAGCACTAACTTTTTTTTTTTTTTTGTCTAGCCTAGTATTTCTAAAATATTATGACTTCAGGTTCAATATTAATCACCCTTGAAATATTGAAATCCAGAGAGTATTTTATACTCACAGCACATTTCAGTTTGTTTTTAGAGGTACTGGGTTTTGAATCCAGGTCTTTGTTCTTTTTTTTTTTTT